GAGGTGTCAGCTGGGGTTCAAGTCTTGTCTGGAGAAGGATCTGTTTCCAAGCTCACTCCTTTGGCTGTTGGCAGGCCTCCATTCCTCTTGGTTATTAGTCAGAGACATCAGTTTCTTGCCACATGGCAGCTCACAACCTGACAGTAGTTTCCTTAACAGGGCAAGCAAGAGAGAGAGTGCCCAAGATATGGAAGCCCCTGTAGTCTTTGTATAACCCAATCTCAGAAGTCACCTACCATCACCTTGCTGCAGTCTCTTCCCTAGAAATGTCACTAAATCTATCCTACACTTACAGAGGAGATTACAGAGGAAGCAGGGATTGTTGGGGAATCACTGTAGAAGTGCCTACTACATTGTTATTTCACTTAACCCAGTCTATCAAACATATTAGAATTTCAATTACATATGTGAAAATTAACTTATAAAAATTATTAATGCATTTTTTTATATTACCACCCACTGCTGCTGAGTTGATTTTGACTTATAATAAGCAACCGTAGAGGACAGAGTAGACCTGCCCCATAGGATTTCCAAGGCTGTAAGTAGTTTGGGGTTGTTTTTATAACTTTTTTTGTGTGTGGTTTGAGTGAAAGTTTATAGAGAAAGCTAGTTTCCCGTTCAGCAATTTGCATACGTTTTGTTTTGCAACTTTGGTTACAATCTCTACAATGTCTCAGCACTCTTCCCACTTCCTCCTTGGGTTCCTTGTTTCCATTCATCCTTTTTTCCTGCCTCTTCCTGCCTTCTGAGCTGTGTTTTTGGACAAATGTTGCCCTTTTAGTCTCCAGTGTTCTAAGGGAGGACGTTACTTCTTGATTTTATTGTTTATAGGTCAGTTTATTGTTTAGGTAAAAGTTGATCCCATGGATGGGTTCAGTTCCAGGTTTGAAGGGTGTCATAGGACCACAGTCTTGGGTTTCCATCAGGCTCTTTCAGACTACTGAATTTGATCTTTTTTTATGATTTTGAATTTTCTTCCACATTTTTTTTTTTTTACTCCCACTCTACCCAGGAACTTATGTTATGATCCTGATCAGATTGTTCAGCAGTGGTAACTGGTAACCTCTACTCACCAAAGTAGGATGTAGATTGTGAATTATGTTATGCCAGTTGACCTAGATGTTCACAGAGACTGACTGTCTTCCTAAACCATCAAGAATATAAATCTTGATGGAAGCAGGAAGCCATATCTTTCTCTCATAGCTTCAAACTACCGACCATTTGGTTAGCTGCTAAGCACTTAAACCACTGTACTATCAGGGATCAATTTATAGTGAGTTTTACACTTAATCCACATGCTAAATTTTCACTTGTGATGCTTTCAATCAAAAGAATATTTTATGAAATAAATATTTCTTAAGATCTTCATTTAAATTTCATAAAATTTGCATTTGAAAAATAAATTCACATACTTACATTGTTCTAAATATAGTTAAATGTCTAATAACTTCATCTGTTTTAAAGTGTAAGTTAAAATTAAATAAACTCAATACGTAATCTCAAATACAGCAGCCACGTTTCAGGTGCTCAGTGGCCACATGGCTACCCTGTTGTACAGCAGAGTTCTAGCAATTTGGCTGAGAAAGGAAAGAGAGACGTAATGGCACTTAGCAGAGTGGTTGTTGTTAACTGCCATTGAGTCCATTCTGACTCATAGTGATCCTGTAGTGAGTTTCCAAAGTGGTAAATCTTTTCCCCACTTAGTGGAGTTATTATTATTATTATTTTATTATTATTATTATTATTATTATTATTATGTGCCTTCGAGTAGGTCCTGACCCATAGTAACCAAGAAAATAGAAATCCACGTGTGTTTTTTGTTTGTGGCTGGGAAGAAATAAAGAGATTGAAGATGATAGAAATGTAGGGTATGATTTCTGAGGCTCTGGATTGTTGGTCATTTGAATGACGGTGCAGTGGAGGAGGTCTGGTGTTCGTGGTGGTAAAATACAAAAGAATTGAGTGTGGCAGACTGAAATCAGAAGTGTTTCAAAATTTCCTTCTAAAGTTTGTCACTCTGTTCATCATTTTTTCCTAATATGTATGCCAAGAGGGAGAAGTGCACTGGGAAATGTAACCCGTTTTCCATGCTTTCATTTCCTGTGAGCCTCAGCAGAAACCCTTTCCTGTCCTGGACTGGAAGTGCTCTCAGGATAGGAAGAACTCCCTGGGAATGGGGTGTCCTGTCCATGTCAATGTACAAATAACATTTGATTGAAAAAAATGAGCTCAGCCACTCTGCCCTAAAATATCTTACCCCAGACCTCCGTTTTCATTCTTTGAACAAAATTATCAAGTATATATCTTTGTATGTTAGAAGCAGAAGAGTCCTGGGATCCTCTAATCCAATACCCTGCTTTTGTAAGTGAGCAAAGTACTTTGTGATTTACTCAAAGTAAGTGGGCATTTAGGATGCTTTCATGTCGTCCCATTCCAATGGATTGTTTCCAGAACTGAAGGTGCAGAGAAGTAGCAACCTCTGCTGGTGTGCTGGGAGCACTTACATACTTACATGCCTTGCATTTGCTAATCCAATGAGGCCAAACATTGTAAAGATGCTAAAACTCAGATTCAAATGTTCTTTGATTCATTATTGTCACCCATCTTCTCTCATCTCTTCATGTAGCCAAAATCATTATCACGATTAATGATTGAAATATCCTCTGCATGCCCTAGCTCCACCTCTAAAGATCTCAACTTTTGTGATCTCCTTGTAATGCCTTATGATTGATGTCTAGGATCATGAGTTGGTTAGGTATCTTCCCTGTTCCCTTGCTCTCAGAATGCACTACCAATATGTCATAATCTTCGGTGGTAAAGGTAGATTTCTCCTAGGTTGCCTCCTCACTGAATGGTAGAATACGACCAGCAGAATTGGTGATCTTGAGGTGGGTGCACAGGCTGCCAGCTCCCCCAGACTGGCTGGTAGTCTTGTACATGCCCTTCACCAGCAGGGTCCTCATGGATCTCCTAGGGGAGGCATGTGCAGAAGTTAAGAGCAGATGGAAAGAGATAGCAGGGACCAAGCTGGGGCCTAGCAGGAATAAGAGCAGCGATGTCAACCAGCAAGAGGCCATACTGAGCTAATAAACCGGGCATAGTTACAGAGACTCATTCACCACAAGATTGTAAATCTTTATGGGAGCAGACAGCCTCAGCTTTCTCCTGCAGAACAGCTGCTAGATGTGCCCTGCCAAACTTTCAGTTAGCAGCCCAGTGCTTAACACACTGTGCCACCAGGACTCTTTTCCAGCATCATGATATTGTTGTTAAGTGTCACTGAGTCTGTTCCAACTCATATCGACCCTGCGTAGGGTTTCTGAGGAGCAACTGGTGGGTTTGATCTGCCAACCTTGTTGTTCCAAGTCCAGTGCTGATCCTACAGCACCACACCAGTAGTCCTTCCAAGTGAAAATCACTATATGACAGACTGAGAGATGGTTGGAGATAACAGTGCTTAGCAGATATTCAGCAACTGGGCTTTTTTTTTTCCTATACCACTTGACTTTTTTGCTCTTTAGTTTTATTGTTATTTGTTTATTATCTGCAAATAGTTCAGCTCTCAAAGGTTGTTGTTGTTGTTGTCAAGAGCGCTGTCCTATAATCTAACACTGCCTACTCTAAGTGACTTTAGGCAAATTCCTCAAACTCTCCGAACATCTAGTCTCTTAGCTAGAACACAAAGATGTTAGCACTTGCCTAGTGTAATTGTGAAGCTATGAGCTAATACATGTGAAGCATTCAAAACAGTTTCAATCACATAGTCAGCACTCGAGTGTTAGCTGCTGTTGCTGTTGTTAGTATTATTGGATCAAGATGATTTCATTTTTTGTTGTATCCTTATTGGAGCTTACTGCTAGGACATGAAGACACCAGCATTTAATAAGCACTTGCTGTGAAAAATTCAATTGCCACTTCATTTTGCTACATTATTCCAAATATAATGGAAAGATGAGTTCCAGGAATAAGAATGAAAAGGTCACATAGCATTAGGTTGTTCTTTTCTAATATTGATCATGACATTTAGTGGTTAAGGAAATTCACAGCCAAGATGTAGTGAAAAGAGCAGTTGATTATGAGTTAGTTTGTCGAGGTTCTGACCCACAAATCTGTTGCATGCCCTCAGGCAAGTTATTGAACATCTGCAAAATAGGGAAGGTTTCTTTCTTCCTAGAATTCCTTGTATACCCATTTATTTTCTCCTTTTTGTCCCGAAAGAAATAAGATTTAAAGACTTTCTGATGATTAAATACTTTTACCTGTTAAGTCTCCAGTGACCTGAAGGACTTCTTATACCTCTGGCTGGTCACAATATGCTGCAAAATAGTTTGTGTTATGCATTGAATTGTGTCCCAAAAAATATTTCTTGTAAATACTATTGCCTATACATGTGGGAGTCCTGGTGTGGTGTTGTAAGATAAGCACTGGGCTGCAAAGTAGATTGTTGGTGGTTGGTGGTTCAAATCCACCAGCTGCTCCTTGGAAATCCTATGCAGAGTTGCTATGAGTTGGAGCCGATTTGATGGCACTTGTAGCGATGAGAGTTAATACGCTGAACTGCAAAGTCAGTTTGAACTGCAAGGTCAGTGGTTCAAGCTCACCAACTGCCCCTTAGAAACTCTATATAAAGTCACTATGAGTTGGAACCAACTCAAAGGCACTTAACAACAACTACAACAACAACAAATACCTGTGGCTAAGGAGCTCTGGTAGCACTGTGATTAAACATTGGCCTGCTACCCAAAGGCCTGCTACCCACCAGCCACTCCGAGGAAGAATGATGAGACTGATGCTCTTCCTCCACACTGCTTTCAGAGGAGGCAACCTTCCCCACTGACATCACCACTGCCCTCAGACCCCTGTTGAAGCCAGAGACTCAAAAAGAAGGGCAAGAGGATTATCTGGCACCAATCTGACCGTTATGTCAATATTATGCATCACTGACGCAAGGCCAGAGGCATTGCCAACAGGGTGCAGAGATTTTTAAGGGCCACATCTTAATGCCCTACACAGGTTATGGAAGAAGCAAGAAAACAAAACACGTGCTTCCCAGTAGCTTCTGCAGTTTCATGGTCCACAATGTCAAAGAGCTAGAAGTGCTGCTGAGGTACAAAAAGTCACTATGCAGAGGTTGCTCACACGTTTCTTCCAAGAACTGCAAAGTCATCGTGAAAAGAGCAGCCCAGCTAACCATCAAAGGCACCTCCCAATGCCAGCCTGTGCAGTGAAGAAAATGATTTTTTTTTATGCTAAATATAACAATAAAAGCATAAAAAAAGATTATAGTCTCAGGAGCTCAATATAGGGTCGCTATGAATCAGAATTGACTTGATGGCAGTGGGTTTTTTGTTGTTGTTATTGTTGTAATATATTTTAAATGGAGTCCTGGCTGTTCAAACCTACCAGCAGCTCTACAGGAGAAAAATGAGACTGTCTACTCTAAAAAAGATTACAATCTCAGAAACCCTATATAGAGTCACTATGTTTGCAACCAAGAACTTTTAAAGTATTCAAGAGCAAAGATGTCAGTTTGAGAACTAAAGTGCTAAGGACCCAAGTTATAATATTTTAAATAACCTCTTATTCATGTGACAGTTAGATAATGAATCAAGAATCTGACTGTAGAAGAATTGATGCCTTTGGGTTACAGTGTTAGAGGAGAATATTAAAAGTACCATGGAGTGCCAGAAGAATAAACAAATCTGTGTTGGAAGAAGTACAGCCAGAATGCTCCTTAGAAGTCAAGATGGCCAGACTTCATCTTTCATACTTCAGATATTTGATCAGGAGAGACCATTCCCTGGAGGAGGACATCATGCTTGGAAAAGTGGAGAGTTAGCAAAAAAGAAGATCCCCAATGAGATGGATTGGTACATTGGCAGCAGCAGTGGGCTGATGTGTAGCAATGATTGTGAGGTTGGTGCAGGACTGGGCAGTATTTTGTGCTGTTGTGCATAAGATCTCTCTGAGTCCATGCTGACCCGAGGGCACCTGACAACAACAACAGCAAGAGCATGAGTCTGGATTGACTTGATGGCAGTGCGCTTAGTTTTTAGTTTGGTTACTCCTGAGACTAAGGAGCCCTGGTTACATAGTAGATTATCAACTGGCCTGCCAACCTCAAGGTCAGCAGTTTGCATCTACCATCTGCTCTTTGGAGGAAGTTGAGGCTGTCTGCTCCCATGAAGATTTGTAGCCTCAGGAACCCTAGATAAGGTTGCTACAAGTTAGAACCGACTTGATGGCAACAACCACCACCACCATCATACCCGTAGAGCTATAGTCCTATTTGGAAATTCATTTGCTTTGTATTATTAGTATAGGGTGTGTGTACTTTGCTGTATAAAAGAGCAGATTAGGCAAGTGAGCAATGAAGCAGGTAGCAATGTGGGAATATAGATTCTGTTCATTATGAAGATCACCAAAGAACAGAAGGTATGAAAAGAGACAAAGACCTAACTGACAGAGAAGAGAAAGGCTCCCCCTAGAGCTGATGTCCTCAGTTGAAACTTCTAGCCTGCTAAACTGTGAGAAAGTACCTTTCCATTTTTAATATTTCTGTTATAGCAGCAATAGATAATTAACATAATTTGATTTCCTGCAATTCACCAAGGTCTAACTCTTGTATGAACTCAAGGAACTAATAATATAAATCCACCAGCCTCCCTTTCTTCCTCTCTCATTTAAATCAACAGCTTATAGAGCACCCTGGTAAGATACTATAGGATAAACACTGGACTACTAACTGAAAAGTAGTGGTTCAAACCCTCCAGTCTGTCCATGGAAAGCCTATCAAGGGTCACTATGAATTGGGACATACTTGATGGTACTTAATGCAGCAATATCTTGTACCAGTTAAATTCTAGGTAATAATGTAAGTATGTCCATGTTGTTAAGTGCTGTGGAGTATGTCGCAACTCAAAGCAACCCTGTATAGAGGTTCCAGGTGTGGCTACTGGGTTTGAACCACTGATCTTGTAGTTAGTAGTCCAGTGCTTATCCTACAGTGCCACACCAAGACTCTAATTAATGTAATCATTTGAAGGTTTTTTTCTTTCTTTCTTTTATCAAAACCAGTAAGAGATATAGTAATTTTGTTGAGCTATTCTTTTATTCTCTCTTTTTATCTAATGAGAGGGCTGGAGTAATTATTATAATAGACATGATTTTGAGGTACTTTGTAAATGAAAATGATTTTTAAAAAATATTGTTGTTGCTGTTAAGTGCCGTTGAGTCAGTTCTGACTCATAGTGATCCTGTATAGGGTTTCCAAGGAGCTGTTGGTGAGTTTGAATAGCCCACCTTGCAGTTCAAACCGACCTTGCAGTCCAGCATCTTAACCTACAGTGCCACACCAGGACTAATAGGTAAAAATAAAGGTTGCCAAGAGAATTATTTGTTATAATTAAGGATTAATATTTTCAAAATATATTGCTGACTATGTGGAATGATACCATTATTCTCACTACAAAAATTGTTTATGGTATTTTTGTAATAATAGATCATTTTAATAAACCAGTGATTTACGTAAGCAGTAAATTACTGTAGTTTGTTCTTCTTAAGGTTTGTTTAATGCATTTTTGCTGTGACCTGGAGAAGTTTTCTGTCTTAGTTGTCTTTTCAGCAGAATGCTCTCTCCATCCTCCATTATGTGCAAGTTGTTATTTTTTGCTATTCAGTGAAGGGTGGCAGCCTTCAAGGAGTAGTCACTTCAAACTAGGCTAGGTCACTGGTGAGGATGAGCTTGTTCAAACTCCCCTGGATAAGCAAAGTGGTGATCCAGGCCTATTAAAAAGAGATTGGATGGAAGATAGGGAAGAGGACTTCAGTGTCTATGACTGTGATTTAAAAATATTAATGAAAACTAGAATTCCTAAATAGTAAATTGTATTTATTGAATATTGATGGCTATGGCACTGTGGGTTAATGTGTCAGGCTGCAAAGCTGGTTGAACTGCAAGGTCGGCGGTTCAAGCTCACCAGCTGCTCTTTGAAAACCCTATACAGGGGTCACTATGTGTCGTAACCGAATTGATAGCCCGTAACAACAACAACCTAAAAAAAAAAGAAAAAAATGTCCATCTTACCAGAATTTCCTATGCAGGTTTTCTCTACTTTCTGACAGTAGAATATTATTATGACTATTCATAAGCTGAAATGGTATAAAGTGAAGACACAATTGCCATTAATTTATATGAAAAAATTTTGTTAGTTTTCCAAGACCACAAAAATAATCTATCAAACCATACCGAATAATACTTAGAGTCTAAATAACATATAATGTTCACAAGCACAGTTCAAAGCTGTGGTTTCTTTGTTTAAAAAAGAGAAAAGAAAAACAACAACAACAAAACTTTTTGTTGTGAATTGAGTGAAGGTTTACAGAGCAGATCATCAGTTTTATATTCAGCAAACCATATACTTTCCTTTATTATAAAGATTGCAATTCCCTCCATTATTTACCTCTTCACTTTTTTAACTATTACATTATTCCCTGTGTCTTCCTCTACCTCATCTTTCCTTTGCTAACCTCCCTCTTGTTATATATTGCCTACTCTGTTGCCCATGTTAGCATGTATTTCCCTTGGGCCCATGAACAATTTTCCCTCCCCCAAAGCTGTAGTGTTTTGATGCTGAGATGCTGAGTGCAGTTCCCCTGGAAGGTGTCTGGCAATCCCACTCTCGCTGCTATGCTGAATACTAGTTTCACTTTTTCCTAAAATTGAAAATCCTCTCCAACTTCTCTCAGTTTGCAAAAACGGATACTAATGTAGTTCTTTTGTAAAAGCAAAGTGGCATAAAGGGAACCTTTGAAAAATGGAGCATGTGTATATTTAGATTGGACTACATATATATATATATATTTTCACTGTATTTTTGGCTTTGGATAATATTACATTTTAATTTTGTTTTTCCTTCAGAGTATCTCAACCAAAAAATTAATAACTTTGAGAGAGATGTATTTAGATAAATGATATTTTTACATTTTTGCTGATGAATTAAAGGTCAAAGAAATTTGCAAATTCTTTTTTTCTTGAAACTTTTTGTTGTGAATTGAGTAAAGGTTTACCAAGACAATCAGTCAACAAATCCTACACTTTGTTTCATCATAATGACTGTAATCCCCTCCTTGTAACAGCAGTTATCCCTCTTCCTCCCTGTTCTTATTTCTATTCCACTGTACTTCTCAACCCTTCTCAACTTTGTCTTTAGGTAAATAGTGCCCTTTTGATCTCCTCTGGATGACCATTCCATGATGAGTGTATTGGTGTCCCCCATATATACCTATCTACTACTTGGTTGTAAATTGGGCCACAAGAGTGAGATCCATTTCGGACCTGAAGAGAGGTTGAGGACCATAGTCTCAGGTTCCTGAAATCTCAATTTTCCAAAAATGAAATATACTCAATTAACATCATTTACTGATTTTAACAACAAAGTGTTTTCTTATTTGGTGGCAGAAGCTTTTTGTGAAAAGCATTCATTGAATTCATTGGCAGACAGTGTTTCAGAGATGTATGGATAGTAACAAATTATAGGTAGCATTGCTAGAAATGGGAATCCCAGAACACTTAATTGTGCTCATGCTGAACCAGAGTATAGACCGAGAGACAGCCTATTAAACAGAACATGGTAAAACTGCATGGTTTAAAATCAGGAAAGGTGTGTGTCAGTGTTAAAGTATATTTATTCCATCTGTATGCTGAGCAAATCATGTAAGAAACTGGACTAGATGAAGAGGAATGTAGCAGTAGGATCAGAGGAAGATACAATAACAACCTATGTAGATGACACAAATTTGCTTTCTGAAAGAGAAGAGGACTTGAAGCACTTATGAAAATCAAAAAGTACTACCTTCAATATGGATTTTTTTAAAAAGCTAAAACCCACTGCCATCAAGTCTATTCTGACTCATAACGACTTTGAGGGTTTCTGAGACTGCAAGTCTTTATAGGAGCAGAAAACCTCCTCTTTCTTCCTTGGTGCAGTTGGTGGGTTTGAATGACTGATCCTAACTTTAGCAGACCAATGCTTATCACACAGCACCACTAACTCTCCTATATGGATTATACCTCAACATAAAACAAAAATTATCACAACTGAACCAATAAACACCATTATGTTAAACAGAGAAAAGACTGAAGTTGTCTATGATTTCATTTTACTTGAATCCACAATCAATGCCCAAGGAAACAGCAGTCAGAAAATCAAATGTTGTATTACATTGTGCAAATCTGCTTCAAAAGACCTTTTGAAAGTGATAAAGAGCAAAGATGTCACTTTGAAGAATAAGGTATGTGTGAGTCAAGCCATGATATTTCCAATCTCTTCTTATGTACGTAAAAACTGGAAAATGAAAGAAGAATTATGCCTATGGATTATGGTATATAGGTAAAAATATTAAATGTATCATGCACTGCCCAAAGAATGAACAAAGTATGTTGGAAGAAGCACAGCCAGAATGCTTTTTAGAAGTTGTGTGGTGAGACACTGCCTCATGTACTTGAACATGTTATCAGGAGGGACCAGTCCCTGGAGAAGGACATCATGCTTGGTAAAATAGAGGGTCAGTAAAAAAGAGGAAGACCCTCAAGGACATGATTGATACAGTGGCTGTAACAAGGCTCCCAAGCATATGAATAATAGAGAGAATGACACAGGACTGGGCAGTGACAGCAACAATGTGCTCTAACACAGGGACAGCTGTGAGGATGACACAGTGTCTTCTTCTGTCATCTAGAGGATCGGAACAAGCTTAACAGCACCTAACAATAATGACAAAAAATTTAGAAAATACTGAATGGAAAATACTGAAAATACTAAATACATATTTAGTCTGAAAGAAAACATTTATCTTGTTGGGTGTTTATTTCTGTTAGCAAATGAGGAAGATGAATTAAAATTTATAGCTGTTTTATTTATTTATTTTTTAATTCTTTTAGTGGAAAGAGGAGGAGTATTTAGTCCTTAAAAAGAGTTAGTCTTTCTTAAAGGTAAAATTTTCCAAAACTCTAAATTGCAGGGCTTTGAGAGGGAAAAAAATAAAAACAAAAAATATCATCATATATGTGATTACTTGTACTTTTTAATATTTATTTTTGCATTTCATTTTTTCCAGTCCATCAAATTATTGAATTACCCCATATGAGTTTTTTCAAAGTTATCTATTTCCATTACAAACCAGTTAAGAGGCTGTCCTCATAAGTGATATTGAACAAACTATTTGAAATATTTTTACTGAAGCAGGAATATCATAATTTATGCATAACCATTTGTAACTCATTATTCATTGCCATGTGTTTTGGGAAGTATAGCCATCTTCTGCATGCTTCTTTTCTGCAGGGACATATAAATGTAGGTAGAGAGAGAAAAATGGTATCTAAGAACAACTAGAAAAAAAAAAATATATATATACTATATTAATGTAAGGTCAGGAAAATCTGAGTGTTGGTGGAGGGATGAAGGGAAACGGTGAAGGATGGGTAGTGTTTATCAGGATAGAGAAATAGAACATGTTGTTGTTAAGTGCCATCTATTGGGTTATGACTCATAGAGACCCTGTATATGGTTTCCAAGGTGCAGTTAGTGGGTTTAAAACTTGGACCTTGCAGTTAGCAGCCCAGTGTTTACCCTACAGCACCACACAAGGACACCAAATAGATCATTTTATTGTTAAGTTTGTTCTGACTCATAACGACACTGTATAAGGTTTCCGAGGAGCAGCTGGTGGATTTGAACTGCTGACCTTGTGGGTTGCAGTCCAGCACTGCTCCTACATTGTCACACCAGGAGTCCAAAGAGAACATTTGTTGTTGTTGTTTAAGTGCCATCGACTTGGTTCCGACCCACAGTAACCTGTTTCCAAGGAACAGCTTTTGAGCTTTAACTGCGAACTTTGTAGTTCAAACTGACTTTGCAGTCCAGTGCATTAGCCTACAGTGCCACACCAGGACTTCACAAATAAAGCATACTAAAATGAAATAGAATGAAAGATCCTAAGGTAGGGACTATTATAAGGTATAGGAGGGAGATGGCAATATTCATCTTGATGTATTAAGAATTATTATCATTGATCTAATCAGAGAAACCAAATTATACTTATGCTTTGGTAAAGGAGTACTGGTTGCACAGTGAGTAAGCACTCAGCTGCTAACTAGAAGACATCAATTCAAACTCACCAGCTACTGTGCTCGAGAAAGATGTGACAGTCTTCTTTGCCAAAGATTTATAGCCTTGAAAATCGTCTGTGTCAATTCCACTGTATCCTTGTTTTTGTTGTTGTTGTTAAGTGCCATTAAGTAGGTTCTGACTCATAGCATCCCTGTTTAGTGTTGCCAAGAAACAATTGGTGTCAATTCCACTCTGTACTACCAGGTCACTATGAGTCAGAATCAACGTGTTAGCATTGGTTTCCGTTTCCTTTGCTATATTGAACACATATTTAATGGAGGCAAACACCAGATCTCTTTATATTACAGTGTTTCATTCTAATTCCAACTAATTTAAAATGTGTTCTTAAAGAAAGAAAACGACTATTTGAAAAAAGGTAACAAGAAATCCCTCAATTCCGTTATCACTGATAAACTGACAGCATTTTGGTGCATTCTTTTCAAGATGGTGAAAAGCATATACCTATCCATTTTTTGTTTTATAAAATTAGATCATATTATTCAGGTACTTTGGAAAAATGTATTTTTATTTTTCTGTTTGTTTTTATTTTAGGCGAAAATTAAAAGCCAAGGCACCACTTCCTCCAGCTGAAACCAAATCTGTTGATGTCTCTTCAACTGATGATTCTGTAGAATCTTCTGCTTTCAACATGGAACAGAAAGAAAACATGATAGATAAAGACATTGAACTCTCAGTGGTTTTACCAGGAGATATTATCAAATCTACTACTGTTCATGGCAGGTATGATAGAGTGAATGAAATACCAGAAGCTCCCATTCTTTTTCTGCCACTAAAGCCCTATCTGCTGCACTTTTTGAATTTGTCTGTCTAGCAAAATAGTTCATTCTTCATTCAGTTATCTATTTTTAGAATGCTAATGTTTTCCTACCAATATTTTAATATCCATCCTATGAAATCCGCAGTCCCAATTAAGTGACTCTAAAAATTTAGAATCATTTATTGTTTAAATTCATTTAATACATTTTTACAAATGCTTTTCCCAGAGGTAAGGTCATCAGTCATATTGATTTTGTAAATCAGAGCAAACAGTAACCAGCAAGAAAACCCTTTTTATCCCTATCCCAGTTATTTTTTCATTTTAAGCTACTTCCTTGAATTTTGAAGAAACTACTAACTCCTCTTAAAAAGTAATACTCTTTTATTAATAAACAAGATAAGTCTGCACATAAGAGAAGCAGGATTTTTTTTTTTACCTCATTGAATGATTTAACAAAAATACAGATACCTTAAATAGAAATGTAAAATTAAACTTTAACCTAACAAGAAGTGAAGATGTGATGTAGGACACTGATATTTTTAATACCTTCATAAAAATTGGAAAAATGAGGTAAAGCCAAGTGTACGTTATCATTTCATTCTGAGATGGAAAGTTACTTGAATTGTATTTGCCCTTACCTTATTACCTTACTTTGACTATCAGAAGCCCTGCTTTAGAAACTTATGCTCTTTTGACCTCAGTGTAGTGTGTGTGTTTACATATGTAACAAAATAAGTAAAGTGTTTTAAAAACATTAAAAACATCTGATTTTGTCTGGAAGAAACTCATTTTAGGTAAACTTGAATCTAAAGATTTATAATCAAAATTATTGAAAACAGAAATGCTTAGCTTTAACAAATAATACATAATATTATGTATTGAATTCTCATTAAATTTCAGTAAGTTGGATTTTGTCATTCCTTTTCTATTGAAAGTAATGCTAGAGAGCACCCACTGAACCCTACTTATGAGGTTGAGAGACATGTGACCCTCCTTGGTGGGCTCTTTCCTAATATAGAGGTAATCAGTCTTTTAGGTAAGAAAGGTATCTTATAAGTTAGACACAGTGGCTATCATCTTCAATTCTTGAAATAATACCATTAATGTAGTTTTTAAATCACCATAGTACGGACAATTTCAAAGTCGAGGTTTTGTTAACTCTGGTCACATACATGAGCATCCAACTTCTGTCTACCAACATGGTGGGATCACGCCACTTTAAAATTGTCCCAGTACCAAAATCTTAGGGTTCCACTTTATACAATGTTTTTACTTGATTTTTTTTAACCTTATAAACTTCACTTTTTAATTTTTATTTATTTAATTGCAATTTTCACATTGCTTTACTGTTTTCAGATTGTTTCAGATATATAATAAAACATTAGTGAATTTAACATTTTTAATGTCTAAAATTTAAAGATGTAGGGTACTGTATCATATCACTATCAGTTTCTCAATTATTCTATCATTAGCAGAAACTCCATGACCCCTACAAAGATCCCTCTTTTCTTCCCCTATCCTCCCTTTCACCCCTGGTAAACCTAACCTAATTTAATCAGTTGCCTTGTAGTCAGTTCTTACTTATGGCAACCCCCTGTATGTCAGAACAATTGCCATGCCCCAGAGGGGAGCGTGGTGACACTGTAGGATAAGCACAGTACTGCAAACCACAAGCAGAAGAAAGATGAGACTTTCTGAACACGCAAAAATTTACAGCCTGTTAAACCCTAAACTGAACAACAACAGAGAGAGTTCTCATTGGCTAATTTTTGGAAATAGATCTACTGCTCGGCCTTTCTTTCTGCCTCCACTTGGACTCAAGCATCCAAACTTCAGTTAGCAGCCAAGCACATTAACTATTTACACCCTTGGTAACCTCACACCCTTGGTAACCACTAATAAATTGTGGTCCCTGTATATTTGCATATTTTTAAGTAGGATCGTACAATGGCTGTCCTTTCATACGTTACCTATTAAAGTCTAGTTTATCGCCACACTTTCTCTCAATTGAGTTTCTCCATCACCCTCACTATTAATTCTAATTATAGGAGCTCTGGTAGCGTAGTGGTTACGAATCGGGCTGCGAACCTTAAGGTCAGCGGTTCAAAACTACCAGCCGCTTCGCGGGAGAAAGATGAGGCATTCTACTCCCATAAGGATTTACACCCTCGGAAACCCTGTACAGGGTCACTATGGGTCAGAACTGATGGCACTTAACAACAACAACAACATGGCTGCTCTTTAGGTTGCTTCTTTTCACATCTAACTTAGATTCTGCTCCGCACCAGTCCTTTCTGTTAACTTTCTTCTTACAAAGACCTTTGTTTTTCTTGCCTTTTTAACCTTGCAGCATGTCTGCCTCTTTAGTCCCTAAATCTGAGTGATTTTTCCATCAGTCACTTTTTTGTACTTGGACTGACAGGTGTTGTTGAATTGCCTGCCTCCTTATCTATAAAAATATATCACAACTGAATTGTTGTTAGGATTAAATATAATGCCATATATTGCTAGGATTAAGTGAAATACTATCAGTACCTGCACATGTTGATTTTCTTCATTTTCTATTGGTAACTGCTTTCCCTATCTCTGCATACTCTCTATGCTACCATCCACCCTCAAATTAATCTGATTACAATGCCTCTCTGTTGGTGGCACTGCCTTTGGTAAAACACTGCACAGACAGCAATTCAACGCCAAAGTAAGCCTGGAGATTGAGATGCCTTATTCTCATCTCCTCTTAAATTTAAATAGGATTTTCCTTGCTACTCCCCTTGGTATACCTTAAGCTTTGGCACATGACTCTTTGTTCTTCAACAGATAGTCTACTTTTTTCACCTCCCCTCTTTTACAGAAGTTTGTCCGCCATAAATGCCCCCATACTACCCACATTTTTTCCATTATTTTACATATCTCAAATGATACTTTATATAAAACCTCTTTGATTACCCCAGAATCAATTATTTTCTCTCTTTCAAACTCTTACAGTACTTTTTACTACTTAATGGTTATTGTACATTGTCCCATGCTGTGCTTTATATGTAGGTTTTATACTTTTGAATAAACCACAAAATCTATGAAAGCATATTTACTGTTCTTTATAATCATTATTAGTATAGTTTCTTGCAATATGTTGTTACTGTGAAGTGCCGTCAAGTCAGTTTCAACTCATATCAACCTATGCACAACAGAACGAATCACTGTCGGTCTTGTACTTTCCTTACAATCATTATGTTTGAGTCCATTGTTGGTACCATTGTATTAATCAATTTCATTGGGGCTCTTCCTCTTTTTCATTGACTTTCTACTTTACCAAAAATCATGTCCTTTTCCAGGAACTGTTCCCTTCTAACATGTTCAAACTATGAGAGACTAAATCTCACCATTCTGTCTTCTAAGGAGGATTCTGGCTGTGTTTCCAAAACAGATTTGGTCATTCTTCTGGAAGTGTGTTGTACTTTCAATATTCTTCACTAATGCCATAACTCAAATGCATCGATTCTTCTATGGTTTTCCTTATTCATTGTACAACTTTCACGTGCATATGAGTTGATTGAAAACACCATGGCTTGGGTCAGATGTAGCATAGTCTTCAAAGTGACGTCTTTGCTCTTGAACACTTTAAAGAGGTCCTATGCAGCAGATTTTCCTGGTGCAATATGTCATTTGATTTCTTGACTGCTACTTCCATTAGTATTGATTGTGGATCCAAGCAAAATGAAATCTTTGATAACTTCAAACTATTCTTCATTTTTCTTGATATTATTATTGGTCCAGTTCTGAGGATTTTCATTTTCTTTGCCCTGAGGTGCAATCCATACTGAAGGCTGTGGTCTTTGGTCTTCATCAGTAAGTATTTCAAATCCTCTTCACTTAAACAGCAAGCAAAGTTGTGTCATCTGCATACTGCAGGTTGTTAATGAGTCTTCCTCCAGTCCTTATGCCATTTCTTCATATAATCCACCTTTTTGGATTATCTGCACAACAGCGTATAGATTAAATAGTATAGTGAAAGAATACTACTCTGGTTCACCCCTTTCCTGATTTTAAACCATTCAGTATCCCCTTTTTCTGTTCTAATGACTGCCTCTTGGTCTATGTCCAGGTTCCTTATGAATTATGTATTTTGGAATTCCTATTCTTCACAATGTTATCCACAGTTTGTTATCCATAGTTTTTACAGTACAGTAGATATTTAATAATAACTAAAATGTATATTATCTAAAACCTTTATAATTCTACAGAGATAGCACCTTAAATCATATACTTTGAAGAGGATTTGGAATGAGTTGTAGGCAGCTTCCATGTATCTTTTGAACTAAGATACTTCTTCCAAAATAGGGAGCAAGAATTTCCAGAATGAGAGTGCTCCAGACCAATTTTATTGCTTTTTTTTTTGGTTGTTGTTGTTAAGTACCGTGGAGTCGGTTCCAACTCACAGTGACCCTGCACAGGGTTTCCGAGGCTGTAAATCTTTACGGGAGCAGAAAGCCTCATCTTTCTCCCATGGAATAATTTTTCTGAGAGTAGAATTGCTTGATATAAATATACCTAATCCTTACTTAAGGAGCTCTGGTAGTGTAGTGGTTATGAATTGGGCTGCGAACCTCAGGGTCAGAAGTTTGAAACTACCAGCTGTTCCGTGGGAGAAAGATGAGGCGTTCTGCTCCTGTAAAGAGTTACAGGCTCGGAAACCCTGTACAGGGTCACTATGAGTCGTAACTGACTCCACGGCACATAACAACAGCAACAAAACAATCCTTACTTGGGAGTTGTGGTGTGGTGCAGTGGGTTAATGTGCCAAACTGCAAAGCCATTTGAACTGCAAGGTTGGTGGCTCAAGCTCACCAGCTGCTCCTTGGAAACCCTATACTGGGTCACTATGTGTCAGAATCGACTCAATGGCACTTAACAATCCTTACTTAGTAGTCCTGGGGTGATGCTGTAGGATAAGCACTTGACTGCA